CCGAATTAATAAATCTGGCATAACTACTATTTTTTTATATTTGGTACTGTATTTTCCATCAGATTTATGGGCAGTTTAAAAACATTATGGAGAATCTTTCCACCTATCAATAATGTGAAAGCAATTCTACTAAATGCACACGAAATATATCGAAGAATAAGGGAATTCAATTTACGAATTATAGCCGTTTGTGTGCATGTTTTTCGACAACCTGCATGGGATGTCAAAGAAAACACATTTGATCCTCTGTCATGATACTGAACTTCACGAATAACTTTATCAGTAGCATCACGCTGTTCATTATTTGCGCTATCATAAAGCTTATTAAATAAACATTCTTCTTCAAAAGGATCAAAAATATCGGGATCAGCAAATTCTGGCATTATTGTAGGTTAGGCAAGTCAAGTGACGTACATGTACCATTATGTGTTAACAAAATATCCGCTATTTCCAATAATGCTCTATTGAAAGAAACATCTACACTACAATCATCTCTAATGAAATCTTCGCTTAAATTATCTCTAAATTCTACTCAAAGCGCTAATGCATTCGTTGGAATATTTAAGGCACAAATAATCGCAAACAAATTACGCATTTGTTTTGTTGAATTAAATGACTTAGCTTCATTGAGACAAACTCTCCACTTATTATAGTTGGACGCAATTCCCCTAGCATGACATGCTTCGATAAATGTGCTAAAAACAATTTCATTGTATGTACGCACATCTTTATATGATTTTGGCCCTTTTTTATGCAACAAAAGTAATCTTAAATGGAATAGCTCAATTTCTTTGGGAGACACCATATACATCCGATTAATATTTTTATCTCCTCCTCGTTGTCTTTTAATGCCAAGATTTTCTACTATCAATCCAAACTTAATGCAATGGAATTTCTGTATATTGATTAGCAGATGGATCACTTTGATTCAATTGAAAGAAAGCTAATAGTCTCGTAAGGTTAAGATTTTTTACTGCTTGTAGTTCTTGGCTTTCGCAAAATATAATATTTTGTCTTTGTGGCAAATGAATGTTAAGAGGATATGATATGATATGAGACTGAAAATGCATAGGAAATTCATATATCCGCCACATAGCCTCAGTTGATCCCACATATCGACCATTCAAAAAATTTCTAAGTTCATGTAGTTCAACTTGTACTTGCTGTACATTTTCGTTTATGTTTTCACTTTGAATTAAAACAGTTGCACTATCTAAACCCTTATATATATATTTAATACTTTTGACGAAAGTGTGAACCTCGACATTAATGTGACAATTATATTTTGCAAGCAAATATGGATTGTATGGAACGACATAACGATTATCTACAGATTTTCCTCTAACATTAACGGAAACATTATTATCGCGTCGTCTATATAACGGATAACTATTAACTGATTCTTTAGTTGATTGTACAAAATCCTTTGGAAATTGTTTTGAACATTTTCCATCTTGCATACATACAGAGCTTAGATTCAAAACACCGCATGGACCATGCATCATGTGTTTGACAACATTCATGTAATTTTGGCTGTAAATTTTTATCCGGTATCTTTGCATAAACTATTTTATCAATAACAGTAACCTATTTTTTGAAATTCGATTGTATATATAAGAGCCAAAAAACAGATTTATTCCAAATGTCAGATATGAGTTCTATTAACTTCAATTTAAATACACGCACAACTATTTCACGTCTAAAATGAGATGATTCATTAGCATCGATATTATATACAATCTCCGACCAATTCGGATTGCAAGTCATTGTAACAAAAAACGATGGTTTGCGGAAATGCTGAACAATTGACATCAAAGCATCAAAGTAATTTTGATACATGTTTCTCGGAGACCCAGTGAAGGATGAAGGTAAAATTACTTTACGACCTATGCTATCATCTCCTACTTGATTCGTTTGCAAATAATCAGTAATATTGTTATACACATCTGCCCTCAAATTCACTTGATTCTGTCTTATAAAACGTACTCGACATCCATCTATTCTCACATACATATCAACAATGTACTGCAAAAATAGTTTTTGCGATTTATGTAAAAAGCTAAGTTGATCCCTTATTGCAAATCTGAAACATGCAAATTGTAACATTGTAACTTTATTTCGAATCTGTCTACCATTAGAATTCTTTTGCAGGTTATGCGATATATTAACGTGCCAACTAAAATCTCCCTTTAGGAATAGTAAACGATATGTCAATGGATCCAAAGTAGAATCTAATACTGATACATTCTTAACCACACCATTTGTTTTTAAAAAAGATATCATATTTCTCTCAAATAGTGGTTCACCATCTACAATCGTAAATATAACAGCAACATCAGTTCGAGTTGCATCATTATATCTTCGTATATCTGTATCACGATTCACGGTAATTGCCATACAAATCTCTTTCTGTGCATTTCATACTGTATCACAATGTTCTTTCATTGTACGAAAAGAACGAATAAATGGATTAATTCTATCCAATTCAACAGAAATTTGTCTCATCAAAACATCATCGCAAGTTTTATTTGAGTGCGCTCGCATTCTATATTGAACAGCCGTATCGACATCATAAATATACAACTGGGCATAATTTGGCGTACGATCAGATGCTGTGACCATTGGTCCTGCTCTGTGATAAAATATGGCGTGAATTTTAAAATGATAAATTCCTCTTAAAACTGTGTCAGAAATATTAGCTTCCGAACTGACCATAGCATAGGCCGAATTGTAGCTTCAAATAGGTGTGAGACCATTATACAATGAATTAAAAAAATCATTTTGTGTTTATAGTGGAAGATGAACTTTACCCTTATGGCAACACATTTGGAAGAAATTTCTTTCACGCATTGTAGACTCTGAGGCAAAATGCTTAGGTAAACAATGCCTATAAACCAAGTTCATAGAACCAATATGAAAGGGATCAAAATTAGGCGGTATATCAACCAATGCACATTTGAACAAACTTCGCAAAGGAACTGAATTATTATCAACATTATCAACTTGAATTAAATTTAAAGTTGTAGTATTAATTACATTTCGTGTTCTACTCAATTGCATATTTTCTTTATTTCTTTGTCTCTGTACTGATTATCAATAAATATCAGCTACCGAACATACAAATCACGTTCACCATTTTATTCACAAATTGAACTTAAAGAAAAAAATAAACTCACCAATAATAAAGAAAACAATGGGATAGATATTGTCAAATCACACGAAGATATTATCTCTCGAATTAAAGTGTTGTTAATGTCGATTCAACCAACTAATTAACCTTGAAAAAAAATTGTTGAAAAGTTTACTATCACACAATGCACGTGAAATTAATCTAAAAATTTTAAACTCACCAAAATAAAACGAATGATATCAAAGGGTATTTCCACTTCAATGTGTTTTTTTTTCATAAACAATACTTGAAATTTAATGTGCATTAAAAATGTAATTGGAATAGAATTCAGTTTTGCAACACGGAAAGTCCAAACAGAAAAGTGGAAAAAAATCGCACACACAAATCCATCGTAAACAATACACAATTCGCTATAAAAACAAAAAACATTCAAAGACACATGCATTTTGTTGTTGTAGTCGCTAAATTTGCGCCAACGCATTTTTGCCTGTGTTTCCGTTAATGTACATGCGAAAAAAATAACGTTGTGCACTTCTGCACGTCTTCACTTTTTCTACGGTATGAACTTTAAACATACCATGTTAGCGTAATTATATATAGATTCTGTCTCTCTTATTTCTTGATTTGACTTCACCAGATTGATACAAGCAGCTGACAGCACTTATAATATAATGATTTGTATTCTGCTCATATGATACTCATAAACACCGACACTCGACACGAAAATGACGCAAGTCATTTATGAATCATGTATGAGTATTACGTCACATTCGTGAAAGATTTGTTTATTACGAAAAACTCTGCGACAAATAATTAAGCATTTAAAAACTAATAAGATTTTAAGAATTTATTATATAAGAAGAACTAGTTATAATTTCATTTTTCAATATAATTATTGTCAACAAATCAAAGAAAATCATAACTACATATGTACGAAAGGGTGTTCTTGGAATTATTTTCCTCAAAATTGCTTGACAATATAATATTAAACCATGAAAACTCTTGC